CAAAACTTTTTTGTTTTTCTTTATTTTATTTTGTACCCCCATCTCTACTGCCACGCAATTGTGAATTGCAAAACATAGAAAAGAGCACAGTTGAATTTCATTTATTTGTTTAGCCCGCAAAGCTGCAAAGGATTGTGCAAGCTGAAGTCGACTAAATTTATCCAATTGAAATGTATACAGAAAAAAGCTTAGACCCCCGACTCAAATTTGTGCCATTGTTAACTTTAATGTTGCCATAAAAGAACTATGCATTGTTTACCATGGAAACGGAGCAGGAAAAGCCAAAAGAGCTGGATGGTCGAGATGGTCGAGATGGTATGTGGGCTACGAGAGGAATTTCCCTAAAAATAAATCAAAGTCTGCTGCATTAATGAACTTCAATTCGAGGCCAGATGCTGCATCCTCGGTGCAAACATGGAAAAAGGGGTGGCATCCGAAGACCCCATCCTTGGTTGCCTGCCACCTAAGCAGATTTCATTTTAGATAAAGCAAACGTAAGCTTTTCCATTGAACTCCGAACACTGAAAATGTCCGACAGGTGAAGAGATGGAAAAGCCAAACGAAGGAGGTTTACGAACAGGGCTTGTGCACGAAATTTTTATGCATTTGCATTTATCTTAAGTGGGCTTCACTGTGTAAACTGATTGGAGCAGTAATTTTTTAAAAGAGATTTAAAATTGGCTGGATGTTCTAGAGAAGAACAAAAAAATTCTATTGGCAAATGAAGTTCATTAAAAATATTTACCACAATTTAAAGAAAATTCAGAACAAATTCTCTGCTCACTGCAAATCTCTTAATCTACTCAAATTTCCCATCCTGAATCTGCAGCTCATCAAACCACCTCCAAGTTTAAAGTTTTCCTCTTATTTTTCCATATTTTTGCATAACATTTACTCAACTTCTTAAGCACTTAAATCCGCTTAAGTCTGAAAAGAAAACCTCAGCCTCTATTGTTGCTCTTCAATTAGAGCATTTATCAAAAACAACAGGCCAGCCAGGATAACTTCTTCGAAAGGCAAATCAGTCAAGCGCATCAAATTGTGCTATTGTTTTAGTTTAATTACATAATAATTGCCTTGTGCGTTGTTATTCATGTTTGTCTTCTGCTAATAACTGCAAGCAGCTTATGGAAAAACCCACAACAACTCCGGCAAAACGTAATCAATGCAGGACGAATGGCCTTACAAATTGGCTACAACAGGCTTTTCTTGGCCTGCAAAAGACAGGACGAAAGGACAAAGAACCAAGACGGGCAATTATATAAGACACAGCATGTGCTTATTTTGATTTAATTTCCCATTTAAGACTCCTGCCTGTACGTTATTTACATACTTGATTGGGAAAATTTCCATGTACTCGTACGCTGGGAAAAGGAAAGCTATTTGCCATTTTACCTTTTTGGCTTGCAGCTTCCACATGCTCCCTTTGTTTAGTTTGAGAGTGGAAATCAAATTAGTAGCGTAGTAAAATTCATTTGAGTAAATTTGCACAAATTGCTCTTTGTTCCGGCAATGACTCAGCTGAATGGCAAGACTTTAAAGACAATGATAAGGATACTTTAAATTTGCTGACGTGTTCCTGAACGAAAATTCCAGCCATTTGGCTTTAAGTAAATATAATTATTGGTTTGATTTAAGTTTCTTCTCCATAGGTATGTTGAAATTAAGTGCTTTAATGCTTGCTTTCTTTAGGTAATGAAATATTTTACAAAGGGGTAAACTATTGTTTTCATTAACACACGAAAAACAAAGAAAGTCTGACTACATGCTTTTGGAAAACTTTAACTACTCAGTTAACTCCTTCGTCTTAATAAGAGTGCAGTTCAAACTGCATTCAAGTGTTCGAAAACTTTAAGCCACTTTTTCAACTCTTTCTGTTTAAACTCAATTCTGTTGGCCTTTAATTTGGCTGCCTGAGAACTTTGGCTTTCAGTTTTTTTCGCCTACGCGTTGGCAAGTGCCTTCGCTAAAGTTGACTTTGAACACTTTTACGTTTCGCTGATTTTTCAAGAGTTTCGTTTCCATTTTTTGCCTGCGGTTGCAGCCACATTTGACTTTGGTCCTTCGGCTCCTTCGGCTGTTTCAGCTGCTGGCTGCTGCCTTCGTCGTCACTCATTAGAAAAACGTTGCAAAGTCGAAAAAAAAATGTGCACTACGTGTTGCAGGGCAGCAAAGGAAAAAGAAACGGCAATGAAAACCCTCATGTAAAGTTTGCACTGGCAAAAAGTAGCTCGCAAAATCGCAAAAAAAAAAAAAGGTAAAGATGGTGGGAAAAAGACCAAGAAAAGTTTATTACAAAGTTTGGACTGAAACACGCGCCAAAAGAAAGGAAAGCGCAAACTAAAGTTTAATATTTGATTTAAAAGTTGATAAAATTTACTTTAGTCTGCACTCAATGCACTCAGCACGGTGTTATTTGTTTTTATTGAATTTGTTCAAATGTGTCTTGGCCAGATTTCCCCCGCTTTTCCTCATCCCTTCCCATTTCTTGCCCTTTTTCCGAGGTTTTCATTTTTTGGCTGAGCTGCAGTTGGTTTGCGTCCCTGCTATCACGTGGATTTCCCATTTCGCCATGCAAATATGAAAAACAAATGGGGAAATGAACGAGGAGTGCAGTGAAGAGAGAAGTCGCCGGTTTGCAACAAAAAAGCGCTGCCCTGAAAATGGGAAAATTTTCAAATGCATTGTTTGCCGGCTTTGAAATGGAAAACACGAAAAGTGAGATGAAAAGAGACGGAGAATGGGCATTGTTATGAGCCAGGATATGAAAGCAGTGGCAGGACTCACAAGGGGGTTATAAAACAGGTACAAGCCACGGGTGGCACTAGTTTGGGTAATAGATAAAGTTGTAAAGGTAATACTCTGTGGGGAACCAGAGAGACAATGAGCTAAAATTAAATGGCACACAAGGCGAAATTATTGAAGAGGGACCCATTATTAAATTTAGTAATGAAGTAACATTATACTGACATTTATTGGGGATATCATGTTAAACATTTAAGTGTGTTGAAATATTATATATGTAAAGTATAAAGCTTAGCATGAGAAATGTAAAATAAAATGCAAAACTAATTTGTAATGTTTTCTATCCTCTCAATAAACACGAAATGCTTTTCCTTACACTGCTGTGGAACTCTGTTATTGATACAGAAATCCAAACAAGGAACTCTATCAACATGCAGACTCTTTAAAAAGTATCCAATGCATAAATCGCTAAACAAATGCGGCAACATTTCAGCAGAGGCGGATTTAATTTGTGAATTTCATTCTAGCATGCAAATATAGTATATATTTTCCTGTTTTCCTGTTCCGCCCGCAGTTATTTGCATTTCCATTCAGAGCGTAGAGCATTCGTTCGCAGTGCAATCATAAACTTGCACCTAAACGTATAAACGCTCCCCTGCCATTGAAAAACACACAAATTTCGCATGCTACCTACTAATTTTGGTTATACTCCTATTTTTTTATATTCCATGGCGTCTATATTTGAGCGGCAAATTGGCAAATTGAGTTTGTTAGTCCAAGCCCCCGTGCTCGTCAACTGAACACATATCTGTAGATATATAGATATTTTTTGGGGAAAATGTGCAATGCATTGCATGGCTTCGAGCTTCTTCATCTCAAATAAACCCAATTTGGCGCCCATGTCACATACGTCAACGCGAGGCGGAGCCACGCCCACTATGGGCCAAGTTTCGCTGGCAATTTGTCAGCTATTTTTTCGCCGCTTCTTTTTGGTTTCGCTGTTCCGTTTTTGTTGTTTTTGTTTTTCCCCGATTCTTATATTTTCCTTTGCTGCATCACGTGCCACAACGGCGCACGTTTAGCTGAGCTTATCATTTTCTCAAAGACTTTGTCTCTTGGCATCTCTAACTCGCAGTCCCCGACGACTATTTAATATGCAAAACGTCAACTAACCGAAAACTGACAAAGTTGAAATAAATTTTTATTTCATGGACCCGCTTTCAGTCTCTGTTTATATATCGGCAATGAACTTGCCGCAGAATCAGCGCAAAAGCGACAGAAATATGCCAAAAAAAAAAAAAAAAAAAAAAAAAGAAAGAACCTCGGGGAGCCTTTTGGTTTCTAAGCTTGAAAAGGGCCTAGCGAAAGCATTTTTTGGCAATCTTCTCACGTAGCAGACAGAAAAGTAAATGAAAAAAAAAAAAAAAAAAAAAAAAAACGTGAAACACACGACAGTATTCACCGTTGAAGAATCCTTGCGGTGTCGCAAAGCCAAACTTTTTAATTTTAATTTTAATTTCATAAATGCAGTGAAGTGCAGCTTCGAAATCGCTGTCATCATCCCAATTCAATCAGAGGAGAACTTCCCACCTGGCGCCAAATTGCTTAGTGCGGCGGAAATCATCATTTTCCAACTGGTAACTAAATTGCGGAGTTGCCGTCGTCGCCGCCGCAGCACGGATGAAAAAAGTTTGTCATACGCCCCGTGGTACGGCCAACACGGCGTATGACGGATCCACCTTTCAAATGCACGCCACACTCGAACGTTCGTGTGTTTTTCGCGTATGTTGAATATTTTCACGTCGAGCCGGCATTTGCATATGCCGGATAATGGTCTGGCTTTGGCCGCTATTCCTCTCTTCCTCGCTCTGTTTTTCCATTTTCACTGCGATCCTTTTTCTTTTTGTCGTGTAAAAAACAATTAACGCAAAAAAAGGGGAGTGACTCAGGAGGCTTTCGGATGAAATAATCAACGCTTAGATTTTTTCACGTTTTCAAGGGTATTTCACCGGTGCGGTAAATGAGCAAATGCCAAAAAAAAATCAAGCTAGTCATCGTCTAATGGAAGTTTTTCTTGCCTGGGAGTGGGAAGGCTGCCATTTAATTCAAATAAATCGAGTTGGTTTGAAAGGGTTTTTCTTCAAGCAGAAGGTCAAATGAAATCGATTTAATTAGAAATGCCTAATCAAAACGCCTTTAAATTATTTATAGATTTGTTAAAACATTATGTTCTAATCAGGGTAAAAAAAACTTACCATTTGCTGTTGATTTTTCGGCTTCTTGACCAAATCGGGCACCTTGAAGCTGGTGACCGCCTCAATAACCTCGGCCAATAAAAGTCCATCCCGACAATCGGCGGAGAGATCTGTGACTTTTCTTTTCGATTTGGCACGTTCCAAATAATAGTTTGCCCAGTCTGTGTAAATCTGGAAAAGAGATTAAAATACATATATGAATTTAAATGTTTACTAAGCGGCTACCTAATGGTCCATTCAACTTGTAATTAAGAGCCAAGGGAGCCCAGCTGTCTCTTTTGAGCTGCAGAAACTGCAGTTTTCTACGCAATTTGGTTATCAGGAAATCATTAGCCATCCTGCTTGTTGGCCAAAAGCAACATATGCACAAGGAGTTGAGCAAACAAATTAAAATTGAAGACATTTCCGCCCAAAGAGCCCTTGGAAGTCGTTAAGAAAAGCTGTGCAACAATTTTGGCTAAACGAAAAATCCTTTTTATTTCTATGGCAGCCCTAGTGGCCTTATCCTTATCCTATTTCCATCTCCCATCCTTGGCAGTGTCCTGTTAGTTTCATTTGTTATCTTGCGACGTCCTTGGCCTTCCTTCATCCGACTGTCTTTTCGGATTGGGTTACATAAATTTAACTACTATGACTACAAGTTTGGTGATGTATGGTCGAAATGTATAATATAGTGTGCGGGGTATTTGGATTTTTAGATGCCCTAGGTCATTTAAACTTGGTAAAACGTTGGAGAAGTGAATCTTATTTATAGGATTATTAGTTAAATATTATTACTTAAATGGATATATTAGTGGAGATTTAATATGGTTCTCAGATTTTCTACTATATATTGAAGCTACTTTCATACATTGTCTTTACTCTCAACTTTTGATCTTGAGGGTATTTGAACTTTCCTTTTTGTCTCTGGCAAGGGCAATATTAGCTCTCCAGACATTGGCTGCTGCCCTCACGTCGTTAGCCACATCCTTACATAGTTTTATTGTGCCCCCTGTCGAGGGGTAATCCTAATGTGGCCCCCATCTCCACATGATTTCCTGCATATGCATGCGACACATTTTATGTTCGCCTTGCTTGGCAATAAAAATATCTTGCATTGTACTTTTGCTATCTCTTGCCAGCCTTCTGTTCTGTTTGTCTAGCTGCCATTCTGTTATTGTCCTTCGGCTGTGGTCCTCTCTACTGTTTAGCCATATTCCATTTCCGACCAAGTTACGAGCGGGCTTTACATCTCAAAGGGCCAGACACACAACAAACACAATGGACTTTCAGCTTGCTTATGCAAGTTTTCCACTTTTTCCCAGTTGTTTTCTTTAGGCTCAGGATTTGGCTTTGGCTTTGCCATTGGCTTTCTGAACAATAAACTGAAAACTTGTTAGTGGAAAATGGCCGAGCGAATGTCAGTGTCACTGGCTTATAGCACATAAAATGCAAGGACTCCCCTTGGTGTCTGCATATAAGAGATACTTTTGTTTATGAAGCAACATTTTTCCCTTTTCCACACGCGCTGCGTAACTTAAATTAAGTTAGCTTTGCCGGGCATACAAAAAGCTACTTTTTCACTAATTAATTTAGTTCCATTAGTTGTCTCGTCCTTTATACAAACCTCTGCATAGTCACGCGTCAGGATGCCGTTGATATTATCGCAGGATCCTTGGTAGCTCACGCAGCGACCCAACATTTTTTCCAGTTAAAAGGTCCACTGATTGATGGAGTTGATTATTTTTTTTTATTTACACTTTTTTACACATTTTGTTTGCATTTATAGAGGGACTCATTTGTCAAACGGAATGGGAAATGGCTTTAAATATTGATTTAAATATTAAATTCAGTTAAAGCTTTTGATTTATATAATTTTGTTATGTTACATTGAAGAAAATAGATTAATTCAATTGTGTCCCTTAGCCAAAAGATCTAAGCTACCTTTACTACTGTACTACCACAATACCCTCATGTTAGCAAACCCATTTTTTATCCTCGGGTACTTATCACACATTATGCACCTTTCAGCAACAGCCATGTTTATGGGCAAGTCCTTTCAACACTTTTATTTCCTCCAGCCCGTTTCATAAATATTAAATTACTTCCAACGGTTGGCCGCAAGCAACTAAGCTCTGAATGTGTGTTCTTCGCTGTAAAATGGCGTTTATTTTTTTGCCATCCCCATTAAAATGTCAATTATGATAAAGTTTTATTGAAACACCGAGCGGCGAGCACATTAAGCCTTATCAGCGGAGCCAGAAAGGAACCAAAAGCTCTCGTAATAATAATAATAAAAAACATTAGGCAACATTTTCACTTTCACCCTTTTCAAAAACATTTACCGCCTTCTGCATATACCTGATAATTTTGGGGTGCTTTGCTTTCTCGAGAAAGCGGTTAGTGGAATTTAGAAGGGGTTATAAATTTTAAATTATATTTTTCTTGATTTAGAAAAAGATTTTTAAAAATCTTATACTTTGGCTGGCCCAACAGTAAAAAGTTCTTCTACTAAAACTTTTTGAAATTTATAACTAAATAAAAAGTATGTTCTATTACAAATCCTTTTAAGAATATCCTATTTAAGGGGTATTTTAGGTTCGATTAATTTTATTGATGCCATTGTACTTTCTTTATTATGTATTTTTTGAAGTTCCGTGTTGAAAATCACACGCCCACTTGGATAAACTAATTGAAAATGAAAGTGGCACCCGAAGCTGACAGAAACAGCAGCAGCACCGCCCTCATTTTACCGCCAACAGGTTGGTTGGTTGGTTGGTTGGTTGGTCCTGGAACCCGCGTTCCGAAAATGGGTTTTTGGGTCCGGCCTGTAAACCCCCCTTACCAACATCCCACCCCCTCCAGCTTTTCCGCTTTTCCGAGAGGCAGAGCTTATGCATAATTGGGGCTGACACCCTTGTCAGCGACAATTCAGATTTGTGTAGGCCAAGCAATTTTGTTAGCCTGATAAATTTTAGTTTGGCCTGAAAAGGGGTTGACAAATCGACCAGGAAATCAATTTCGCTCCGGGTATGAGGGGTATGAAAAAGGTCAAACAGCCATTTAGGAAATGAAAAACCAGACACGCCCACCTTTTGGGGTTCTCTTATCTAGTGTGTGAACGCTTTTCGGGGAAATTCAGAGTGTGGGTGTGAGTTCGGTTGAACTTTGGCCTCGAGTACTTTACTTTACTTTCTGCGAAATGTCAGTGAAATGTCAGAATAAAAGTAATGCTGATAAAAATTTTATAGCTTGTCAGAGATGTGCAAAAAACAAAATATAACCGCCCCCGAGGGGTTGCTGTCGCTTTCCCTGCTCCTTCTGTTCTTTATCAAAAAATGTCGCGACTCTGGTACTTTAGTTTATTGGAATTTGCATGGCAGTAGCGAAAGCGACAGGTTTTTTTTTTCTTTTTTGAGGGGCGTGGTGGGAATTTGGCCGCAAATTTATGTTAAATCGAACGCCTGTAAATGGCGTCTGCTGGCTGTTAAATAACTCCATTGATGTGTGACTTGGGACGGAGTTACTTTGGCTTATCTTTCAGTTAACAGTCGCTTTAAGCTGCTTTAAGGATTGGCCAAAAGCCGACGAATGTGAATTCAGGTGTGTAAGCTTCTAGCACGGCTTCCTAAAATTGATTTTTTACAGTGCGTTCTATAAATATTTTCACTTCATTGTGTTATTAAAATATATTTCAAACATTTTTTATAACTTTATAAAGTGTCTGTTTGGGTAAACTTGTTATGAATACAATTTCAACAGTTTTTAATTAAAGCTGAAATGATTTTCTACCTTACAGTTACGAACCGCACTGTAAATGGGCTTTCAATATTAAGCGTCTCAAATTCGATGCTCCTGGAAAATCGAACAGGCTGAATGGCCTCCAATGACAACCTGTTGTCAATCTCTTTGATAATGGAGCTCCCAAATCCCAATTTGCCTTACCCACTGCATTCCACCCAGGAACATGGGAAAAAGCCAACCCGAAGTTACGGCTTTGTAGTCACCATCCCCATCTAACCTCATTAAATTCGATTGTATTATCGGCTTTTATCGCATTTGACCCAACAGTTTCAGGCATCTCCACTTCCACTTCCACCTGGAACTCAATTTGCTCAAACTCGATGAAAGCCTCTGAAGAAGAAATCAAATCACAGGCGATTGACATTTGAAAGTAAAGTCAAAACAATCTCGGACACCTTTTGCCCGGCGACTTTGATTTGCCAGGAGACAGGAAGAAAGGAAGTTCGGGGAAATCTGCCTGAAATATCAAGCAAGTGGAGTGACTGATTGGGCAAATGTGTTGATGTGTCCAATCAACTGGGGTTCATATCAATGGCAAGTCCGTTGACATTGCCAAGAGTTGGGGGCGGAATGGGAGCACGAAATATGACATCATTTAAGATGGGTCAATCGCATGAGAGGGCCATAAAACTGCCTTTAAACGATGCACACATCTCAAATGCTTTAAAGTGGGTTTACAGATTACAACCTATAAAAGACATTAAATTCACGTTTTTTTTTTTACGAACTATAAAAAGTCTTTGACGTAATAGTTCCCATTTATATAGCTACTTAAAAAAGATAACCCATAAAATATTAATACTCTCATCAGAATTGTGTTTATTAAAAATAAAATTGCAACTTCAAAAGACCTGCATAAATGCTCGCAAAGTTATGGATCTACTCACAGTAAAAACATGCATAACAGACATTTTGTTTTAATAAAATGCGCAATAAATTCCAATTCTAGTGCCAATTACTTTTCGCAGACAGTTTTTTCAATTACAAAGGAACCATTTTAAATAAATAGGCAATTCAAATGTTTTATGACACTCAAATGGCCGGCAAAATTCTCCTAAAAGGCTCTTTTTTCATTTTCACAAACACATTTCCCACCACACTTTATCGTCTGCAAAGGCCAATAAACTAAACCCTTGTCTTCGCCATATAAACCTCTCCCCCTTTGCCATCCAAACATTTGTGTAGGTGTGTCAAGTGAATAAAAAGCCCAAAATGATTATGGGCAATTTCCAATGCCCACGCAGAAAATGTCATGAAAGAAGCTTCCGAAGAACTGGCTATGTTTTTCTATTTGTTTTTCTATGTTGCTCTCTCATTCATTAATTGATAACAATTCGTGACACAATTAATGGAAAGCTTGCCTCAATTCTTTTATTACCCATAACAAC